TATCCAGTATGAGAATGGAGGTTAACAAGATGTCACTATATCCGGTAAAGAATGGAGGTAACAAGATGTCACCATATCCAGTATGAGAATGGAGGTTAACAAGATGTCACTATATCCAGTAAAGAATGGAGGTAACAAAATGTCACCATATCCAGTTTGAGAATGGAAGTTAACAATATGTCACCATATCCAGTTTGAGAATGGAGGTTAACAAGATGTCACCATATCCAGTATGAGAATGGAGGTTAACAAGATGTCACCATATCCGGTAGAGAATGGAGGTTAAGAAGATGTCACCATATCCGGTAGAGAATGGAGGTTAACAAGATGTCACATTTTCCGGTAGAGAATGGAGGTTAACAAGATGTCACATTATCCGGTAGAGAATGGAGGTTAACAAGATGTCACCATATCCAGTATGAGAATGGAGGTAACAAGATGTCACCATATCCAGTTTGAGAATGGAGGTAACAAGATGTCACCATATCCAGTAAAGAATGGAGGTAACAAGATGTCACTATATCCAGTAAAGAATGGAGATAACAAGATGTCACCATATCCGATAGAGAATGGAGATAACAAGATGTCACCATATCCAGTAAAGAATGGAGGTAACAAGATGTCACCATATCCAGTAAAGAATGGAGATAACAAGATGTCACTATATCCAGTAAAGAATGGAGGTAACAAGATGTCACCATATCCAGTAAAGAATGGAGGTAACAAGATGTCACCATATCCAGTAAAGAATGGAGGTAACAAGATGTCACTATATCTGGTAGAGAATGGAGGTAACAAGATGTCACCATATCCGATAGAGAATGGAGATAACAAGATGTCACCATATCCGGTAGAGAATGGAGGTAACAAGACCACAAGGTACCTCTAGCAGCCGCTGTGGAATAGCAGGCACTCTTGCAAATCTGAAGTTCATGGGTTTAAATCTGAATGGAGTCAAACTTTTTTTTTCTTCAAAATTGACCTTAGCTTCCAGTTGAAATGAGTATCAGTTAAAAGTCCTCGAAGCAAAGGTGGCCGGCATGATGTTGACCATATCAGATTGGGTGACAGTTGGTCTATAAAATGTAGGTCTAGCCCTATATGCCCAATAAATCTGAAGGCCTGGAAAAAGAAGAGTCCTTTGCAGCAGGCATGTCAAACTGGTGGCCTGCAGGCGGTCCCACGCAAAGTAAACATCTGACAATCATTTTTATTAAGTGACTTTGATTAGTTGTCATGAGTGGCCCTCATGTTGATACAACCCGCATAACCCTCCGTGGTCCCTCAGCTTGACATGCCAGTTGTACAGGATACCTCCCTTTTAAGAATGGAAAAAGCACAGACCACGCATAAAAACAACTCTCAGAACAACAAGAAAATGAAGAAGCTCATGTAACTGACATCAAACATTTATTGATAACATAATTTGCAGAGTTTTTAACTGAACAAACGATTTTCCAGTCCAAAGTAAACATTTCCCCATGTACCACTCATAAGACAATAAAAAAAAAACTACAAAATATGCAAACTTCTATAAAAAAAAATAAAAAGGTCTTTTGCGTGAAACATTTAAAAAAAACTTTAAATTTTTTAAAAATTTAGTCACCGATCTCAAGATTTTTCAGGACGTTCACATCGTTGTAATTATAGCTTGCCTTGACCTTTTCTCTGCAGCATTGTAGTCTTTTAAATGTTGTGATAATTTCTCACTGGTGTCTCTTATTCTTAAAATTTCCATCTTCAACACTCTTCATTCCATGTCTTTTAAGAAAATCTGTATTTGACTGTGCAAAAACCCCCCCCCCCCCCCCCAATACAGCCAATTCTATATATCCACAACTCCAGAAAATGATTGCGACTTTCAAACTGCTTTTCCACAACCCAAGTTTCTGCGCCACTTCTGAATAGGCCAGCTGGCATTCTGTGTTGTGGTTTAAAGCTAGGCTGTGATATTAGCATCCGATTTCAGCAAAACCTGAATTAACTGCATTTGACAACATGCTTGTGAGACAGCAGCAGCAGCTCGATACTTTCCCCTCCAGACTGAGGCCCCGGAAGCCAGGAGGGATTCAACACCATATACAGTAAGGTGCCCTCAAAGCAAGTGGCTTTCACGATCCCTTTATTAATTCACAAATTTAGAAAAGAAACAATTCATGACCTAACATATTCCTTTCCAAAAGTGTCAAATCACATGACAAAGGTGCAGGGAAACAAACTGGCAACTATCGTAGAAAAATCTAGACTTGACAAAAATAAGATATTGATTTCACGGCTGACAGGCCAGCACCAACATTTAAATGTCAGTCCACCACTGTTTCCTCAAAAAAGCGGTTATTAAGGAAAATCAATATCACTGTTATGACTGATTTTCTTTTGACAGTTTTTCTGTGGTCGTTGTAAAAAACAAAGGTAGCAGCATGTCCTCTCTGAGAAGTCACTATGGCATAGCGGCTAGACGCTTGCCTGCGGATCAGAAGGTCGTGGGTTTGCTCCATGGCAGAGTTCTACTTTTTTTTTAAATGACCTTGGCTCCCAGGTAGACCCAGCCTTGAGTGGGTACCAGGTGCAGTCCTGGGAAGTAAAGGCAGCCGGCGTGATGCTGACCACATCACCTTTCTTGTGCCGATTGGCCTATAAAAATATAGGTCTAGCCCTATATGCCTAAAGGCATGGAAAAGGGTCCTCTACTTACTTACATATCCTCTCTGAGGCATCACAACCTAACCTCAGCATTCATTGGTTGTGGTTTTTACCAGGTGATTTGGTAGTTTGCCATTGCTTGATGAATGGTAGGATTCTTACAACTTTGTCCAAATCAACACAAAGTGACACGTCTATACAACTAAGAACAATGTTTCAAAGAGACGCGAATGCAAATTAAACAGTGTCAGATTTTCTTTTCATATGTCAAAAATACATAACTGCTTCAACTTTTAAAAAATGCAGCATGAGTGAAGTGTGACCGCTTACAATAAAAACTATGGCTGACTACCTACAATAATAAAAATACGGCCATCAACTTACAATAATAAAAAATATACAATCCATAGGAGAACATTTAAAAATACAATGCAGACAACAGAGTTATTCATTTCCACTTCTACACAGTGGTAACATTTTTGTTTTTGTTTTCACAACCTGTTCACTGATAACTATTTGAAGTCATTTTATTTTTCTCTTTCTAAGATTAGTTAGTTCTGGGAGCTGCTGTTATGTAGTGGCTAGATGCTCAACTGCCAACCCAAAGATTTTGGGTTCGACCCCACGTTGAGTAGGATTTTTTCCTTCAAAACTGGACCTTGGCTCCAGTTGAAACCAACCTATGATGGGTACCAGGTAATGTCTTGACAAGTATTCCTGAGAAGTAAAGGCGGCTGGTGTGACGTTAACCACAGGACCCACAAAGTGCTGGTTAGTAAAAATACAGGAATAGCATCATATACCCGATTCACCCCTGGCGTGAAAAAGGTTCTTTACTTCACACAGTAAGATCAGTTATAACACTATTTATGTATCAAATGCTGACCACATCACCCATCTTGAGCCGATAAAATATAGGTCTAGCCCTATATGCCTAAAGGCATAAAAAAAGGTCCTTTACATTACTTGTATGTATCAAAACAATGCACAGCAGGAGAAAGGGCTAGTCAAAATATCATCCTTTTCTCCAACACGAGACTTCATGTGTAAATGGTGACAGCTATATCAATTTATAAACCAGTTGGTGGCTTAGGTGTTGCAAAAGAGCTTCGTAATTTCAGGTTCATTCCAGCTGCAGCTGGTTTTGTCTTACGTTTGTAGTGACAGTGGTGCCGAGAGCTGACTGTTCAGAAGGCAATGGCAAACTACTGAACGTAAAATTTGCCTAGAAAAGCAACAACAGCCCAAATAATGCTGGGGCTGGTTCTGCAACGTCCTGTAAAGGATACGCAACTAACCTGGCGTGTCACGGGTTAGGCAGTCACTATCAAATCGACCGCCTTTACTTCCTAATATTCTAGAACAAAATCTTGTAAGGATTCGAACATATCGCCACCAAGCTTATAAATCATAATAGTGCTCAATAAATAAAAATGCAAATGGGACATAACCAAAGTGCGAAAACCAAACAATCGTGCTATCAATTTTACATATCAAGTTACATATGTCCAGTTATTTTTAAAGACGCACAGTATCCGCCCCCCTCCCCCCCATTTTCTCTCTCCGTTTGAGGTTGTCCCTAAAATGCTGTCTTCTTCTTCTTTCCTTCTGTCAGAAAACTTATATCAGGAGACCGGTAGCCTTTATGAAAGCTATCGTGCAATCCATATGCTGTCATATGTAAATATTTCAACGCTGTCCGAATCCACCGGCATCAATATGAAATTGGATGAATAGGGGAAGGCAAAGGAAAACATAATAATAATAAAGTGCATGTTGACAAATAAACACAAAGAAAAGATTACTAAATGTTACATGAACAGAAACAAACTGGTATATATATTATGTGAATTTTACTTAAATCATTTCTGTTGTACTAATTCACCCCTTAGAATTGAAAGCCATTTCATAATAACTAACATTTATTATTGAAACCTTTCTTACCATATTAATGGATCATTGATTTCTGAAACAGTTATCACATTAATAGATAATTTATTATTGAAATTTTCCATATCATATCAATGGATCATTGATTTCTGAAACAGTTATCATATTAATAGATAATTTATTATTGAAATTTTCCATATCATATCAATGGATCATTGATTTCTGAAACAGTTATCATATTAATAGATAATTTATTATTGAAATTTTCCATATCATATCAATGGATCAATTAGCATTTAAATCTGTCCTCTCATATAAACTTTTCCAATGTTATTGAAACCTCCTCCATAAAATAAATGTTCCTCAAACTGTTATGGTAAACTATTCTCTCATCACGGTAAACTATTCTCTCATCACAGTAAACTATCCTCTCGTCACAGTTTACTGCAACACACACAATAAACAAATTATTTGGTGTGGTCCCGCAGACTCTCCAACTGCTGGGTGGCCTTGGCTTTGATGGCGTCAAGGGTGGAACCAATATCACCACTGAACTCAGCCAGCAGGGCCGTCAGCCAACCATCTGTGTCCGAGAATCCCATGGACAGCATCTGATCAAGACTCTGTTGGATCCTGGGATCTGCAAGAGAAAACCATTTTATTTTGTTTATAAAACCATTTTATTTTGTTGAGTAAACCATTTCATTTTATTTATAAAACTGAGTAAACCATTTTATTTTGTTTATAAAACCATTTTAAGTTGTTAGGAAAACCATTATTTCTTCTTCTTCGCGTTCACCAGCTGTAAACTCCTGGTGAAAAGTTCTGGTTGTTCGTCCACCTCTGGACTGCAGAACTGTTCCAGAACCTGAGTGTTACGTGTGCATTCGTTTGACAGATCGAATCATTTGTATGCAGACTGCTGGTTCATTGCCTCTCAGGCAGATGCATTCCGACTTTGAAGGAAGCTCCCAATTAGTCCGCTCTTACGACATGTTTTTGGGTAGGCATTGGGTCTATTCTTGTTTTCCCTATAACAGGGCCCCGGAACCCACACGGGAAACATTATTTTACTAGTATATTCTCATCACAATATTATTCATTGGAAGACGCAAACATCTTTAAACTTATCTTCTTCCTCAACCCTTCAACTTTCACCTTTTATGATATGCTTGTTAAGTTTATTTTTTTTCACTCTCCCCCAAAATGGGGGCCATGTAACCCACACCAGGACACAACTAACCTTATTGTCATTATGTTTATTATTATTATCTAGCAACACCAAGATCACAATAAAACATTGAAAAAACTAATCCTTTTATATGGCTCTGAAACTTGGAGGACAATTAAAAGAGATTAAGCCAGGGTACAAATTTTCTTCGAAAACAGATTATTACAACGAATCTCTGGACCTACAAAGATGCAAACAGCAGGGGAACAAGAGTGAGAAGCAACAACAAAATTCCTAATCTGTTTAAATCACCACTGATCACTGATATGATGAGATCTAATAGACTGAAATAGCTCGGCATATTAGGAGAATATCAAATAACAGAAAGTAAAAGGGAGCTGAATGGTCGTAGACCATGCAGCAGACCAAGCAGGCGATGAAGAGATAATGTCCAGACAGACCTGCAATCACTTGGTATCACCAAGTGGAAAAAAGAAGGCCAGCCAGAGAGATGAATGGAGGCAGGTGATATCTGCAGCAATGAACCTCAGGAGCTCAGAACTCTAAAGAAGAAGGCCAACCAGAGAGATGAGAAGAGGCAGGTGTTATCTGCAGCAATGAACCTCAAGGGTCGAAATGCTGAAGAAGAAGATGTTAAAGGCCAGTGAGTCTATCCCTCTCCCCCCTCCCCCCACAGGGATATAAACAGAAACACGTTTTACTTACTTGGGTGACTCTTAGGGGTCTGTGATGAACTGCCTCCAGACTGAGGGCCAGAGTTGGGTGTCGGTACGGCACCAGCAGACTGGGGTGCTGCATTGGGTCCTGGCATGGGGATCGCTGAAGGTCCGGGCATAGGAATAGGAGCTGAGGCAACAAATTTGAAATCTGTTTCATCCTCCTTAACATAGGTCCAGTCATCACTTCCATTGTCACTTCCGTTTCCGGTCTATAAGGAAAGAAAAAAAGAAGACAAAATGTAACATTCAGGCAATTATATTTTGTGGAACATACACACACACGCACACACACAACAGAATATTACTATTGCCATAAAGGCAACACATCACACACTGGAATACTCTTTTCCGGTCACAATGGACGCTAGGCAGCGGCACTGTTCGAAGCAGAAGCAAATTTTTTTTGCTTCTGCCAGACAGTGGCCAATGCATTTTTGCTCCATTTTTAGACTGGATATAGTTTCGTCGTCCAGCTTCTGAGTTGAATGCATGACGTGACACTGTGAACTGGGGATTACACTTGGAATGTTTTTTCGATTGTGACCAACATGGTGGTGTGAACTGTAGATTCAGAAAATGACGCGATGCCTGTTGTGCAATGTTGGTGGTGCCCGTTTGTGCTTAAAATTGATCGCGTGGGCAACTGCTGATTTGTTGACGACTTCTGCTATCATCAATGATGAACTGCATTTCTAATGTTGGACTGTTTGTGTTAGCACTTCGGATGGCTACCATATGCTTTAATGCGAGTGTATGCTAGATATGCTGAGACAGCAGTCTGTCAATCTTTCCACAAGGGACTGTAATAAACATTCTGTGTGTTTTTCGTTGGCACAGAAGTGGAGCAAAGATGGGGTGACCCGTTTGCTATGAAGCTGAAACTAGGAATACCAGACACTGGGATAGGTCATTATTTTATTGGCACTTTTATTTTTGAGATAATGTTTTATTGTGCATAAGGAGGCACAGAGCCCATGGCGACACCAAATGAGGTCAGGGATAGTTCCTCCTCTCCATGGTACAAAGCCTGGCAGTATTGCAGAGATCATGTTCTGCCCATGCAGCCTGATCCCTCTCTCAGCCTGCTTTGTTAGTTCTAAAGAGAGCTAACACTAACTTTGTTAGCTCAATAGAGAGCTAACACTAACTTTGTTAGCTCAATAGAGAGTTAACACCAACTTTGTTAGCTCAATAGAGAGTTAACACTAACATGTTTGGAACAAGGCAGGCTGCAGGGATCAGAAGAGCAATCCAGCCTGTTCCCACCACATTGAAGAAAAAAGCTGTATGGTAGATGGGGAGATTTGGACAGCACAATAGCTTTCATAAAGGCTACTAGCCTCCTGATATATGTTTTTTGACAGAATGATTGAAGCAGAAGAAAGAAGAACAAGAGGAGGAAAAAGAAGAACCCACATGGCCGGAAAGGGGGGTTCGTATGAAGTAATTAATAAATTATGATCAGCTGGCACAGAATGAGGCAAAACTAGTCACAACACATTTACCTTATTCACATCTTCTGTCGAGTTCTTGTCCTTCTGCGGAACATTCCCTGCATCAGTCTCCATTGCTTCGCCCCCAACTTTAGCCCCGGCTTCTTTGTTATCTCCAGGAGCTCCGCCCTGCTTGCTTCTACGCTGCATGTTCTCCCAGGCCTGGCAGCCGCCTCCTCGTCCCCAGGTTCGGTGACAGTTTCCCCTCTGGTGAGTTCCATTCCCATGATGTACGTCGTAAGTCACATCAATTCCTATTGTGAGAAAACAAAGACTTTTTTGAAAGAAAGAAAACTACACACAGTAAATGAAAAATTATAACATAACTAAGTTAATTCGTTGTTATTTTTGTACACCTTCAAGAGTTATTACTAAAACTTTTCTCTAGATTTTGCAGAAGGCCTCCACTAGGTAAATTAAATGCAGTACTTTTGAAGAAGCTAAACACGGTCACAGCATCCAGATTTCTTAAATATACAAGACCGATTGTCAAAATGTAAAAACAAGGTAATAGCTTAGATTCAAGGCAAAGGGTCAATTACACATGCTGTCAATGGCAAAGTATAATAATAATAATAAGTAAGTTGTGTATCCTTTACAGGATGCAGAAGCACGAACCCAAGCATTTTTTGTATGGCTGCTGTGGTTTTTCCTGGATGAGTTTTACGTTCAACAGTTTGCAACTGCTTCTGATTGGTCAGCTTTCGGCACCAGTGTTGAAACCAGAGCAAGAAAAATAGCCCACAGCTGGGATCAAACCAGGCACACCCGCATTAAGAAGTATTCACAGAGCCTAAACCACAGATACTGACAGGCAAAGTATACCAGACACCAAAGCAGGCACAAAATATTTACCAAATGGATCGAGGAAAGCAGCAATATCAGCTCCAACCTCGTTCAAGTACTCCTCATACTGGGCCCTCTCCTTGTCTCTGTCCTCGGGGTTTGTGCCAGGTTGGGCCTCTGCACCAGCTGTAGCGCTGGCCCCAGCTGCACCGGGCCCCGCCATCCCTCTCATGCAGCGGCTGATGTAACGACTCAGGTGGGGTGGCAGGAAGTTCTGTAAAGGTGAGGAGGACATAATTAAAACAGAAATTTAAACATTAATATTCAGCGGAAGCTAAAAGTAGTCTATAAAGACAAGTACGCCATCAAGAATAACTTTAAAGAAATGATTATCAATTTATTAACAACACTAGAAAGAGCCCACAGAAGGTCCTTACAACTTCTCCAACACAGGAGCAGGAGGAGAAGATGTCTGTAATAAAGGCAACTAAGGAATGGCAGGCAGTCTAATTCCTTTTGAACTGTTGCTGAAAATTCCAACCAACCATGAAAAAGTACAACAAAGAATACAACAATAATTGGACGACTAGACAAAACCATAATGCCTCGAAAGAGACTATTCACATTTCAGTTGCATTTATTCAGTTTTGTGTGTGTGCTCCGTTTAATGTTGATGCAACTCTGCAGCAATGCACCTGATGAGATACAGCGAAACATGCCTGGCAATAAATTGTGCAATCTATTGTTTGTGTCTGCATTATTTAAAATAACTCAGACAACCAAACTGACAGAAAGCTTTCACCTTAGAAGTGTGAATTAAATAGACATAAATCAATAATATCGGGATGAGAGCTGCAGAAAACAGCAAAAAATAGCACGGGCAAGAAGTGATCTTTTTTTTTAGAGCTTAAGCTTTAAGAGGTAAAGGTCAAAGAACAGGATAATATTTACATGTTTTATAAAAGTATTTGAAACATTTTAAAAAAAAATATTAAAAGAGAAGAAAACACTAAACTGCTATAAAGAAATTAATTATACTGTACTTTTTTCATTCGAGGACATACTGTGATGTGTCCCTGTACAATTCAGCTGTGATATCTGCATAATTCAGCCAGCACATCCAACTTTTTTTCCCAGGCAAGTCTTGCCCCGTCTTCTTTATGATGTTCTACCAATGACAAAGATGATAGGGAATCTCCACAGTGCAGCGGTCAAGCTATTTGCTTTGTGTATTAAAGGTCCTGGAAGTTTATTTAACAGACGTGTGGGGCAGGCCATGGGTGAAGTTTTTAGGGGGATCATCACAGGTGCTATGACAACATTTCTAGCAGGCAGATAGTCATTCTGCCTAAAGAGACCAATCAATATGGGGTAAAATCAGGTGCACTGTTTTTCATCTCAACTTGTTTTTTTTTTTTTTTTTTTACATAAAAAAAAAAAAAAAAGCACAAACACCTGACGAATACCCAACAAAGAAAATAGCCACAGACGCTCAAAGAAAAAACAAAACAAAATCTCACCCCCAAGTGATTGATACGAGGCTGCATGATCTTGAACATATCGTGCTCCGTGTGCAAGCCCTTGGCTTCACAAGCCTGGCACAAGTCGTAGTCAGGACAGATGCAACACTTGTAACGGATGCCGATCACTGGACCCTCACATCCGTCGCAGGTCACGCCCACATGGATCGGCCCCTCACCCTCTGTGCGCTGGCCCTGGCTGGGTTTTGCACCCTGAGGTTGACCCTGGCCTTTTTGTTGCTGTTGCTGCTGCTGCTGTTGCTGCTGTTTATCCAAGGGTTTGTATTCTTGTTGAGCCTGGTCAGGTGTGTCTCCTGTTTCCATAGGTTCTGATTGGATAAACAAAATGTTAAGATCAGATGTATAGAAGATCATGTTATGAGACAAGAAAGAAAACCTGGAAGATCAAGGAAGTTACAGAGCGAGGTCAACAGATGGAGGAAATGCTGGATACATTAACCCATTCACCCTGAGAAGCCGCTACACCGACACTTCCTGCTGGGTCCAATTCACTGCAAATGTCACTTTTCTGACTTGTCTGTAGCAACCTGTTTGTGAGATGCATAGTTAATGCTGCTGGCTGCTTTTGCACATGCGCAATTTTTTAGGTTCGGGTATGAATATGTTAGCTAAAAACAGTAATTGGGTTGGGAGGGGGGGGGGGGGGTTGTTCTCTGATCTGAATGGCTTTTTAAAGCCAAGTTTATATCAAATTTTCCCGTAAGCCTCACTGATGGATGTCAGGTGTCATGGCACGAGTCCCCAGGACATAAATTTTTTTTTTTGTAGACCAAAGGGAATATCTTTCATTTAATGCCTCACCCGGTTTGTGATTATGATTCTCCCTTAATAAATCTAAATATTTGAACAGATAAAAGATTCAAAATGTCGATAAATACATTGTAAACGTATTTATTAGTGACCCGTGTTAAAAAAAAGTAACAAGTAACATATGTATAACGAATTAGTGAAGATGTGCAAGAAAGTGGTAAGAGAGTTGCACTGTGGAAGAGATTGTGGCTTCACAATGGTAATGTTCCTAATGATAGCAGTGGGCACACTACAGCCAACTTTCATCCTGGAGACTGCACAAATTGTTTTAAAAAAATCTGCGTGTAATCTCATGCGTTCCACACCAAACGGATCAACCTACCAGGAATGTAAACGCGCAGTACTCCATCAGAAGCACACGCCATAGCGTCCTTCATCTCCTCGGTGGTGGAAAAAGCAACACGATCCCCATCTGGGTCTGCAACAACAAAAAAACAACAAAAAAACAATGGGGTCAACATGTAGGTTCAATAAACAGGAAACATAATTCAACAACTATTATCTACTGTCAGTGTCTATGAAATCAGGCGTTGCCGTTGCGCAGACTTTGAAATACCCAGCACCATTCAGCTGCAGGAAATTTGGCAACATACTGATTTTAATAATGGTGTGAAGCGCCAACCCATTAGTAAGCAATGGTATAAATTGTTGATCCTAAATTGCTTATAAAAACCACAAAACGTCCTTAAAATGTTGGGGCTCGTTCTGTCTTACCCTGTAAAAGATAATGCAAATAACCTTTTTTTTAAGTCACCTATGCTCACGATAAGGAACTTAAATTTTTTTCAAACTACATAAAGATAAAACAGAGTTGTGCCTATAAAAAATATACAGACTAAAAACTCTGATTTGCTTCACGGAAGAATGTTGAAAATATCAAAGAGGGCCAGAACAAGTAATTTAAATGTTTCAATGAAAAAACTACAAAACCATAATTACAACCAAAACTTTCAGATGAGGTAGACAAAACTTTCTAGCAATATGTTATGCAAAATCTGAAATACATTCAATAACTTATAACACTCATGGAAAACCAGAGTGAGGAAGACAAGATTTGTGATAACCCTTACTGCACGGACAGGTTTTCCATGAATTAATGCATGCTACTGGAGAGTGACGAAGCCAAAAAGGATTAAGACCTGCATCTTTTTGCAAGGCACTTGATAACCAGCTACATTCTACACATGTTAAATAATTTTTGTCTTTACAAATAGAACCTAAATGAGAAAATAATGAAAAAAATTTAAAAACTGTAAAACGTTTTTTAAAAAAAAGTACAGTAAATTTATTTAATCAATTAATAAATCTTTACTCAAAAGCAACAGTAAACTAATTTAAAAAAATAGTAAATAATTTATAATCTTGACTATACCACCACCACACCGAAAAGAGGTCCGCAATTTACATATGACTGAGGCCCGGTTAGGGTATTTTCTTAGCCTCGATAATTTGGGACCGTTGTTCGGAGGATAGCCCAAAAATGAAGAAAAGCAAATGTAATTAATTAATTAAAAAATTTAGATAAAGGACATTTTATAGAAATAAAAATAAAAATGAAATAACTAAATAAATACCAGGCTAGCAACTGCAACTTTAGACCTTGCGAGTCTGACTTATAATCCTAATGTACCACGATCGAAACCCACTGCTGGCTGCGTGGATTTTTAATATGGTATAGGGCGTCAAAGATCGACCCGGCCTAAAATGGGTACCAGGATGGCTATCCTGGGGAAGTAAAGACAGCCGGCATAATGCTGACCCACATTACCCACCTAGTGCCCATTGGTCTGTACAAATATGAGTGCTCTTCCCATGTACCCGATGCGGCTTAAGTCATGAAAAGGGATCTTTACTTTTTTTTACAGACTAGCAACTAAAAATGGAAACCTTAGAAATTACACACAAAATCGAATCAATGATGGATAAACTGATCTTGGATTGCAATGCAATCCGCTCCCTAGGTGAGAATTAAACAATCTTGGATTACAAAGGAGCCACTCCCAGAAAATGATGAATCATACATTACAAAGGACCCATCTTCAAGTGTGAAAACTTACCTTGCCAGTACAAAGTGAAGTTGCCATGAGTCAAAGTCGGGTACAGCTGCTTGATTTTGTCCTTGGCCGCGGTAAACACATCCCCACCGGCTGCAGTGTTGAGCGGAAACCTGCGGATCTCATTGGATCCGTTGGCATGCTCCAGAAATACTTTCACTGTCAATGACATGGTTCACTGGAAAAGGAAATAGTCAACTTCTGAAAAAATGTAGCATCATGAAACATCAAAACAGCCTGTATCATGAGAGTTGAACAGATATTGTTTATGTAAAAATTACTACTTCTACTCTTACACCACTGTTAAACAGCAGGGACACCAAGAATGGCATGGTCTGCTTGTATTTTCTGTTACTTATGTGGTCCCAAGCTGTTGTTATTTTAACCCTTTCTGTCCCAAAGGAGTTGAGCTTAATAGCCGTTAATACCCAGATATGACAGAGGCATGATGACAGAGAAGTAGTTAAACTAATATTATATGCAAAGTGTTAATATATTTATTATCTGTCTGTGACAGTAGACCTGTACAGCATAATATCTTTGCACTGATCAAGTACCAGAACCATTATGGTTTTGCAGATAGATGCTCACATGCAGATCTGAAAGTCATGGATTTGAATGTGAATAAAAAAAAATGTTCCGCCAGAAATGACCTTGGCTCCTAGGTCTACCCAACCTTGAATGGGTACCAGGTGGAGTCCTGGGAAGTAAAGGCAGCCAGTGAGATGCCGACCTCATCAGCCACCAAGTGCAGACCGGTCTTAAAAAATATAGTTCTAGCCTTATATGCCAAACATGCCTGAAGTTGTGGGAAAGAGTCCTTTTTCTAAAGGCCCAGTAAGCTGCAAGGCTTGGAAACTGGCCCTTCACTTTACTTACTGACCAAGCAATCCATGATAAGTTTGATCTTGAAAAACTGTAGGCACTTGTTTTCACTGATTTTTTTTTCTATGGCAGCATTCATTGGGGAAAATGAAACCTTTTGTTCCTTAAGCCCATTTCCTGATGTGTTATTTTTGAGAATCTGACTTCTCTGAAACAGGGTTCAGATGAACGGCCCATCCCACACTTTTGTGAAAATAAAAATGGGGTATCGTTTCCACTACAACTGTATGTTTTGTTCTTTTTTATACATCATACAATTATTTCTTTCGGCTATCCTCCGAACTTCAGGAACTAAAGATGGCCGCAAAATATTCTTTTGAGCCACAGTCACGTGTCAATTGTGCACTTGCGGCGACTTAATTTGCGGTTCTCCGGCGACTACCGCCACGAGTCCCCCACGCCGCGTGGATTGGGGCTAAACTAGATGGCTAGGACTCACGAGCAGCAGCTTCCGCATCTCCTGAAGCTTTGCTCGTGAGTCCTAGCCATCCAGTTTAGCCCCAATCCACGCTGCGTGAGGGACTCGTGGCAGTGGTCGCCGGAAAACCGCAAAGTAAGTCACGTGACTGTGGCTCGAAAGGATATTTTGCGGTCGCCATCTTTAGTGCCCGAAGTTGGGAGGACAGCATTTCTTTCAGTCATTTCTGTAATTTGTATTTTATTATTTTGAATCATTTTTTTTTTTTATGGGTCGCTGAGTGAATTACAAAAGACAGTGAAGTTCATACTAGAGACGACATGGCAGATGTAGATAATCTATTTCAAACGAACCAAAGAAGGAGAAGATTATTTTGAATATTATCTTGTTTATGAACCTTCTAGGTTGTGAATTTACAATGGTCTAACAGAGTATACATTTAATTCATGTGAGATATATCCACAACATTAAAAAAAAAATAAAGCATGCTGTCTATTTAAAACATCATTTCCACAACATGTGATATATTATAGCAATACGGTCTCTATACGAGGCAAAGCTTTTAAGCTTTCCACTTTCTACTGAACTTAACTGGGCGTGGCCGGGAGCCCAAGAGAGACCAAGTACCGACATAGTCTAAACAATTAATAATACCCAAAAAACATGAACTGCATTAATTAAAATATCCCGATTTGTACATAATTTCCAATATATAGTAATACCGCTGCCTTTTGAACACTTTTATGCTACTATGCGTGTTGTTTTCGTAAAATTATTCTGCCTAGGGAGGTGAAAACACTGAATACCACCGCCAACACTTCAATTAGAAACTTGCCAAATTATTAAGTTTCTTGAACTTCTTCGACTTTGGACAAGCCTTTCGTTTAAAATAAATCTTCCTAGCTAAACGATTTATTTGTATTATTTTATTATAAGATGTTCAGCTGTTAACCTATTTATTAATGCTAATGTAAACAAGTAGATGTGGCATTTTTAATTCTCTCGGAATTTCAGACACAAATTCTGTCATGACAGTTTAAGACAGTAAAGTACAGTTACAGAAGTAAAAAAAATTACAATTCAATTTAAAACGTTTACTCTTTCATTTTATTATCCAATTTAATACAATTTCAACAGCTTCTAGTTATCGGGTTACTCACGTTATTTTCTCAAAACGTTAGCTGATTATCTAGCTATGTGATTTTCTCCTGTTGCTGTCGAAAAAAGCGAGTGATGTCTGCGTTGCGCAGCTGGAAGTTTTATACCTGCGTCGCTGAATCTGGATGATTCCAAAACAAATGGCTGCGTTCTTGTCGCTGAATCATGTCACGTGACCTTGTTGTTGGTCATGGCCTGGCTAAAAATAGATATCACATCACTTGCCAGATAGCAATTCAGAAATATTAACTGTTAAAAGTTCTTTTAAGACATAAATATATATTATATGTTTAATAATTTTATGTACTTATATCTGTTTAAAAAATACTAAATATATTTTTACTCATCAAGGAATAGCATGAACTTTGTTTTGTTGATTTGATTTTATCTTTCCTTAAAATTTTCAAGCAGTACTGGCCATTCCGTTACGAAAATGGGGAACCCCCGCAGGTGCCCCACCCACTTTTACTCGAATAGATGGCAGCTTTCAATTTTCTGTTGTCACTGTGCTTCAGCAATGTTAAATTCAGTTGTATCATTCCTTTGTTCAAAGGGTATTCTGCGATTTAGCCAAATACTTATCAAATTTTGCCAGTCATCGATTTAAAAATAAATAATTATTTGTTAGGTGCCGTCTTCACGATGAAGGTTGACAGCAATATGAGTCTCCAAACCACGACTGCCTGGAGAATATAGGCGGTGCTCCAAGTCAACCCATCACCTTGGTTGTACCATGCCCAGCTCCACATATATCTGGAGTTGGCCGTGGTTGTACATTCTCTTAGACTGCTCGATGTTCCTTTATCTCTTGTTGTTAATCTTCTAAATGTATCGCTGTCTACCCTTTGCCTTAAGCGTTTGTCTCCTGTATGGCGTTTGTGTGAAGTGTGCCTGTTTATATAGCTGAAACATTTCACTTAACTTTTACTTGTTTTTTTTCAAACTCATATTTTCTTTTTTAGTACTTCTTTTTTTTTCTTTTTCTTCTTTTTCTTCTTCTTTTTCTTCTTCTTCTTCTTCTTCTTCTTCTTCTTCTTCTTCTTCTTCTTCTTCTTCTTCTTCTTCTTCTTCTTCTTCTTCTTCTTCTTCTTCTTCTTCTTCGTGTCCACGGTTGTAAACTCCGGCACAAGGTCCTGCTTGTTCCTTCACTTTTGGTCCTCTTCAAAGAACTTGAGTTTTGTGTGCACATCTGTTTTACAGATCTTGCTTATTTGTTTGCAGACTGTTGGTTCCTCGCTTCTAGCATGCTTACTGGGGAGCAGTGTGTCTATTCTTTTCCCTAAAATGAGACCCATGAAACCAAACGGGGGTCCCAGTAATTCAGAACTCCTGTATTTGATTGTGTCCTTCATGAAACACAAATTTGGCCCGGCTCTCTAGCGAAGTTGGTTAAACCTGATTTTCGCGGCGGCCGGGTGACGAACTCCTTGTGGTCCGGGTTCACTCCCGGGGGTAGGCAGAAAAGCCACATTTCTCCCAGATTAACGGTACCTATAATGGAATCAATGCCGAAGGGTTGCGATATCCATAGTACCGAGCTAAAGGGTTTACAACTCATGGTTTCTGGATACGTTAAAAAAAAAAAAAAAAATTATTTTGTACACCCGTATCTCCATAGTCCTAATGTAACTTTCTGGTCGCTTGTTAATTGTTTATTTTTCTTAATCATTTGGTAAGTATAAATGCCTTTATTAGTGCTCTTTCGACTAAAACAAATAATACTTTTTGTTTATGTCTTAATGTTAATATTTATTAATGTGTGTGTGTGTGTGTGTGTGTGGAAAATTAGGTCCTGCCTATTCTGTTCGTGCTTTTTATTTCACTTCTGCCATATTTTGTTGTTATATGTTGAGAACACGAGAAATTATTACTTGTTCCAGTTTATTATCATTATTACAAAAGTCATCGCACACACACTCGTCCATGTGTAGCGTAAACTGCTATTAGAGGTTTGAAGTTTGAACAGCGGATCAACATCATGGTACACGGGTAGTAACCCATAAGTGCTCGGTTCTTTTTCTAAATCAAGTCTGAGTCCGAAAAGCTCAGCACAGTGCAGGGGCTCTGTAGCACCGGCGAGGATCATGAAGTACTTTTGGGTACATTTTAAAACTCCAAATTTGCCCAGGCCGCTCCGTTAGGCCACTCTTTTCGATTTCCAGCTGCCAAGGGTATTTTTTACGTGCGCAACAATGCACACGGGCGTCCGATCCGACTACCCAGAGACCAGGAGGAATTACTAGAAGTTCAAGTACATGTTAAAAAATTCCAGCCCTTATTGGGGATTGGGCCGGAACCTCAAGCACTCGAGGTGGACACTATGCCTTGAGACCACGCAACGCCCTTGTAATGCGAAGACGACAGCAGCGCTGACAAATGGTTGCGCCCCCACATACAGAAGATAATTACGCAATAACAATAAACAGTAGTAAATACGGAATGGCAAATACATATAATAACATATGTGAAACAGTATAAAATATTGTATAAATAAATTCTCATAAAGATAACGAATAAACGTAGTTAGAGGGATTACTCAGTGCCGTTGCAAAATGTCTAAAGGAAGCAAAGCCAAGACCCTACAATTGTCAAGGGTTCCTTTTAGCCCCCCCCCCCCCAAGACCCTACAATTGTCAAGGGTTCCTTTTAGCCCCCCCCCCCCGACACACACACACACACACAAACTTTTTTTGTTTGTGTGCGGGAGGGAC